TCTTTTTTTTTTTTTTTGCTGTGTGGCAAGGACCGGGCTCGACACAATCAGCCTCCCCTCGGCGGCCCGGCAGGGCTCTGCGGCCGGAGGTCTGGACAGTGTCACCCGGAGGGACGGGCGTCTGCGGGGCTGCAGATGCGGCCGAAAATAAAGAACAGCCTCGCGCGCGGGAGAAGTTCCGTGGGAATCCTTTGCGAAAAGGACATGGCAGGGATTAGCCTGTCCAAGGGGGGAGAAAATCACTTTATGGGAGCAGAAACCAGCCCCACAGAGGGTGGTGAGGGTCGCACCCAAAGGTGAAGTGGGTTTAGGGTAAATAACACAGCGTTTACTGATCACACGCAAATATTAGCTGACCGTTGGGTGACCGGGAGGCGAAAGAGTAAAACGCAGGGTTATAGACAGACCACGTATTTCTATTTTATTTCCTTTGCCTCCCCTGAAATTATGACTGAAGCCATAAACCTTTACGCCAATTAAATGGACCATTATACATATATACATACACACACGCGCGCGCCATCAGAACGTTTCCTCTACTTAAAATGAAATATATTGAATATTTTTAAAAAATAATCCGGTTAATCTTCCACTGTAAGTACTGTCTCTTACAAATTTGCACGGCTATTTCCTTAATGTAATTGACTTGATCTAATATGCAAAATTAAATATTAAAGAGGAAGAAAGCTGTTAATAATTGATACTGTTAATCCTACTACCCATCCTTTAATGGCAATGGAGGGCTCTGCTTCATAAAGATTTTTATTTTATTTGGTTTTATTTTTTTGGTAATATCTTGGATCGTTATAATATAAGATAATTTAAACGCGAATGTTGCTGTATCTGTTCACCGTACACGAATCCCTAAACAGGAAAGCAAATGGGAAGAGGTTCTGGCACATCTTTGCTTTAAAACCCAGCAAATAAATTAACAGACCCCCGTGCCATACACAGGGCAGAGATTCATTATTGCGAAATACTTTCAAAAATTGAAAGAGTCAGGGAAATTGGTTGGGAGTACTTTCTGCAAAACAGCTCCGTCTTCCAGCCCTGGCAGGCTCTCAACATCAGCCCAAATTAAACTATTATTTAAAACAAAATACGCCTCGTAACCACACGCCATAGAAACCACACAGCATCCTCCTAGCGCGGGTCCCTGCACTTATAACTTCATAACGTTTTCTTGGACAAGATTTTTATATATTCAATTTCAGGGACACTGAGCACAGAACCTGGATGTTTAATTCTCTCCAGTCATTCTCCTCACGGTTGCAGTTTGTTCTGGATCTCTGCCCAGTACAATAGAATGGGACTTTCTTTTTGTGTGTGTGTGTGCGCCTGTGTTTCTGGAGTTAAATGGGG